CACAGATGGGGGCTAAAAGGATGGTAGAGGGGTTAACACGGTGAGGGAAAGCCTTGGGCTTCTTTGGATCATACCTACCCTTCAAGCCTCTCCTTTCTGTATCTGTACCCACACCTCTCCTGAGGTTTTGGAGGAGACGGCAGGTGATACTAAGTTCCTTAAATCCGGAACTGTGCTCAGCATTGTTATGGACTGAATTGTGTCCCCTCAAAATATCTGTTGAAATCTTAACCCCATACCTGTTGATGTAATCTGATTTGGAAAAAGTGTTTTCTCTGTTATGTTAATGAGCCCATATCAGTGTAGGGTTATTCCTAAATCTAATGACTTCTGAGTTATAAGAAGCAGCAAAGACACAGGCACAAGCTAGTACAAACTGGGGGAGATAGATCTCCAAGGAAGCAGGAATGCCAGGGTTACAGAAGCTGAGATAAGGATCTTCCTCCAGGGTCAACAGAGAGAGAAGGCCTTTCCCTAGAGCTGGTGTCCAGACTTCTAACCTCCTAAACTGTGAGAAAATAATTTTTCGTTTTTTTAAGCCACCCACTTGTGGTGTTTCTGTTCCGGCAGCACTTGGAAACTAAGATAAGCACCAAGTCCAAGGATGGCGCCAGCCCTGGAACTCAGGCAGTCTGTCCAGAGTCCCTGTGCCTAACCATTATCCTATATTCTTCTCAGCTGAGGTTTGTAGGACTTGCAGGAGAAGTGGTATAGTGTAGTAACTAAGAGTCAAGACCCTGGAGCCAGAGAGCCTGCATTTGAATCCTGGCTCTGCAAGCTACTTACTGGTTTTAGCCTCTCTCCACCTCTGTGCCTCAGTTTCCTCATTTGAGAAATAATAGCAGCTCCCTCATGGGGCAGATGCAAGGATTAAAAAAGCTAACATTTATAAAGCACTTAGAACACTGCCTGGAATATAGTAAGGACTATATAAATATTGGCTAGTAATGGCAATAATTTTATCAACAACGATAGCATTATTATTGCTAGAATCTGCATTCTATGTGAATTATGGGATTCTGGAAGAGAGGACTGTAATTAACAAACTCTTAAAAGCCAGGTTTGGGTTCTAATGCCCAATCAATGGGCAGATCCATACTACATCTCTAATAGCTTGCTGCCTAACTATTTTCCTATTCCCATTAAAAAGTAATTGCTGAATCAAACACCTCATGTTTCCTTTATCTCCTAAAATCCTCTGGTCATCTCTGGGATTAGCAAACCAGTCTTTTTCAACTTAATTGCACTCTCAATGATGGGCCAGATGTGTATGATAAGTCCTACTTATGGCTGTATCAATTGCTCCACTCTATTCAGGAAGCTTCCATAGCAGCTTCATTATTTATCCCCTTCCCCAACACAATTTGGCTTGTGTGCATGTGTGTTAAACTGGGTTTGAAGCATTTAATTTTGCCAACACAATTTTAGAGTATTAGTTTGCCTCCTGTTCTGTCTCTGCCCTCTTTAATTACCATTTATTGCAAAGTCACACAGAAACATTAAATGCTAATTCTGACTTACATGTTCCTGGCCAAGAACAGGGATAATAATTTCCATCCAATACAACCTGAATTCATTTTACATAAGGGTGATTCAGAGTAGAGGTTTGAAATCATAATCAAGTCTTTCTCAAAATCACCTCACCCTGGCAGTCATTCACTAACGTCTCTGCTAATTGGTAGGAAAATGGCAAAAAAAAACCCACAAAAAACAAAACCCTCACCTCAGTGTTAAAAAATAAATAAATAAAATATAAAAAAAACAACTTTGCAACAGCGTTCACAAAATTGCTCCTCTCATCAAGCTCTTGCAACTGACAGTTTAAGAAGGGAACACAACTCATTTTATTTGGTTAGATGGGGCTAATCCCATATCACCATAATCCCTCCTAATGTTTTATTGATTCTAAAGGACATTTAATCAGGAAGCAGCTCAGCACTAGAATCCTGCTAATTAGCAAGCAGCTACATTCCAAATGGATTCCCAACTGAACAGCAGATTAATGGACAATATGTACTAAAATAATGATTTGTGCATTCAGCTTCTAAAATGTGTGCCTAAATTGCATCTTTAATCTCTTAAGGATATAGGTTTGTATACAAAGCCCTTAGCAAAATGGGTTTAATTCTAAAGAAGAAGATTTAGCCAATAGCTATTTAAGGATGAAACAGGTTTACCTCTTATAAGTGCAATTCTTCACTGGCTTTCATGGTTTTGATGTCCTTGAACATCCAAAGGTCAAAGATAGGTGAATATAGAAATCGGTGTGCTTCTCTGATTAGCACATAAAACAGTGGGCAATTGAGAATATTGATATGATAATATTTAGCCTAACTTCATCTACTCCTGATTCACTCTTATCCTCATATCCCTGACTCCTGGAATCTTAGTTCTAGACACCAACTTTTAATCAACAAATATCTAATGAACCTCGACTATGTTCCCTTTCGATGGGTACCTCTTTGGGACTCTCAATTTTGGCTTCTAGGTTTTCTATTCAGGTCTTAGCTTACTTTTCTGCTTTTGTTACTAATTTTCTTCACTTTTCCCACCCCCAGGTTTTAGAGAAGGGAAATCCTATGTCCAATCCTGGTCTGGTAAAAATTCACTGACTAGGCTCAACCCTCTAGCTTCATTTATTCATCAATTGGCCCTCCTCATAATCCTTATTCTCCTTTATTTTCTTCTGTTACTCTTCTCACCATGTGGTATGGCATATATTTTAGTTTATTTGTTGTCTTTTTTCCTCACTAGAATACAAGCTCCATGGGGAAAGGGCTTTGCTTTATTTATGTCTAATAATCTCAGTGCCTAGAATAGTGCTTAAATAAGCACTCAATAAATATTTGCTAAATGAATGAATAAATGAATTCATCAAATATTTATCATATACCCACCATGTGCCAAGTACTGGGCAATTCTGGCGGAATATAATGTTACGAATAAAGTCATGGTTCTTGTCAGCATGAAGTCACTAGATATTAAACTAACAAATCACACAAATAAATATATAATTATAAATAGCGGGAAGTTGCTAGAAAAGAAAATGGCTGGGTTCTATGAGAGAGCACAGCACATGGAACCTGATTTTGATGAGGTGTTTAGGTAAGGCCTCCTTCAGTTCTGCCATGAGGTAGGGATTGGGCAGAATTAAGATATCTGCATCCCTGAGAGTATTTTGATACTCAATTCCTCCCCTAATTCAGTTCAATTCCATAAATATTTACTGAGCATCTATGTTGTTTTTATCTTTATTCAGTTCAAAGTATTTTAAAATTTCCCTTGTGATTTTCCTTTGATCATAGGTTATTTAGAAGTATGTTGTTTAGTTTCCAAATATTTGAAGATTTCCAAGATTCTTCTGTTATTGATTTCTAATTTAATTCTATTGTAGCGAGATAATATACTTTGATTTCAATCTTTTAAAATTTACTGAGACTTGTTTTATGGCTCAGAATTTGGTTTAACTTTTTAAATATTCTATTCATTTAAAAATAATCTGTATTCTACTGTGGTTGGGTAGAGTGTTCTATAATTGTCACTTAGGTTAATTTCGTTGATAGTGTAGTTCAAATCTTCTATATTTCTCCTGATTTTCTATTTGTTATATTAATTACAGATAGCCCATTGCCACTGAGTCAAATTCTGAGTCATAGTGACCCTACAGGACAGAGTTGAACTGTCCCATAGGGTTTCCAAGGAATGGCTGGTGGATTCGAACCACCAATCTTTTGGTTAGAAGCTGAACACTTAACCACTGCACCACCAGGGCTCCATTTCAGATAGAAGTGTTAAATTCTCAACTATAATTGTAAAGTTGTCTATTTCACCTTTCAGTTCTGTTTTTGCTTCATGTATTTTGAATCTCAGTTATTAATGGCCTGAACACTTAGGACTGTGATGTCCTCTTAATGAACTAACTTTCTGGCACTATCCCTTGCTTTGGAATATACTTTAACTGATATTAATGTAATCTATCCAGCTTTTGTTTTTTTTTCATTAGGGTTAGCATGGTATACCTTTTTCCATCCTTTTACTTTTAGCCTGTTTATGTCTTTATATTTAAAATAGGTTTACTGTAGTAGACAGCATTTAATTGGGCCTTTTTTTTTTTTTTAAGGAAATCTAATAATCTCTGCCTTTTAGTTGGTGTATTTGGACCATTTATACTTAATGTAATTATTGATAAGGTTGGATATAAATCTAACATTTTGGTGTTTATTTTCTATTGTCTCATCTGTTATTTTTTTCCATTTCCATTAGTTTTCAAATAAAATTATACTTCTTCACTAATCGTGCAAGAACCTTATCACAGTATATTTTCATTTTCCCCTCCTAGACTTTGTGCTATTGTTGTCAAACACTGCACCTTTACTTACAGGCTGGTGTGAGATATGATAATTGTTTGCATGTGTGTGTGTTTATTTCCCTGGATTTGGGTAGTTTACTAAAAAAAATGTATATTAGACAGTACTAACATGAAGGCTTGAGGGCAACTCTTTGCAGATTTCCAGAGACATCTTTCTGCTACTGTGAATACTAGCTTCTTTGGTCTCCCTGAACTCCAACTTCTATCTCGTTAACTCAGGAAGACTGCTGAGCTCTGTTCTGATTCCTCCTCATTGTGTAATACGTTGGGAAAATTGTAGCACCCACTTCATTTGTTTTCCTTCTCTCAGGATCACTGTTATGTGGTGTCTGCTGTCCAATGTCTAAAAAATGTTGTTTAATATATTTTGTCCTTTTTTTTCTTTTGTTAGTTTAAAGTGTGTGGGTAAATCTAGTTGCTGATAGTCCATAATGGCTGGAAGTGGAAGTTTCTTGCCTTGTTTCTCTATGGCCATGAAAACCCTTTGGCCTTAAGATAATCAAACATTATATTACTCCATCTTCAAGAGATGGTATAGACTGCTTCACCGATCAAACTTCTGTTAGTACTCTAAAATCAGAGTTCTATGTTTGGTACCTTAATAGACTATGTGAACAAAAATTCAACTTACTTTATTTCATTTTGGTAACCCAAATCTTGATGGTTAAGCAATGTTTCCAGAAGGCTCAAGGTCAGATACAGCCCATGCTTCCCACATATAGCTCTGACCTGCAAATAAGAAAGGATTTGAAATTGCACAAGAATGCAATTTTTGACCATCCCTTCCATAATTAGAATCTATATGATTTAGACAAGGAATTGATATCCAGGAGTGCATTCTACCATTAGGATATTGTTTAGGGCAAGAATGTCCAACAGAATTATCATGAGCAATAAGAAATTTTTATTTAATTAACAGAGATACAGATCATTACTCAGAAGCCACTGATATTTGAAATACTGATCTTACATCTTTATCAGCCATGAGACGGGTGGTCAAGGAAAAGGGATTATCTACAATCCATTATATAGGTAAATTAAAAAGTATTTTTGTATCATTTACTTTGATGAACAAAATAAGCCTGTGGTTTTAGCAGGGCTAATATTACTATCTTTATTTTATTTGGAGGAAACTAAGACTTAGAGAGATTAAGTGACTTCCTCAATGTCACATAGCGCATAAATGATGTGGAGTATTCTAGAAATCAGATGTTCAATAAATATTTGCTGGATGAATGAATAAAATGTCATTGCAGTTTTCCAAGTGCTTAACATTTTTCTGAGTCTGGCTAACACGCCAGTTCATTTCTCAGATTGTTGGGTTGGTGATACTTAGATTCAAATATGTTGAACTTTTAGGGCTATGATAGCATGTGTTGTACGTTTAGCATAGTGGTTAAATGTATAGACTTTGGTATCAAACAAAACTTATTTTGAACACCAGTCTGCTGTTTGTGATCTGTGTGATCTTGGGACATTACTAAATGTTCCTCTGCCAAATTACCCAGCTACTAAATGAGAATGGTACTCTCTATTACCTAGTATTTTGTGAAGATTACATTGCAAAGTAATACTTAGAATAGTGCCCAGCTCTTTGTAGGCATTCGATTAATGTTTGTTGAAATGATGTAAAAAAGTAAGGTGACAGAGAGAGAGACAGAGAGACAAATAGACAGAGAGAGAGAAAAGAACAATAAAAAAAGTGCCTAATTCTAATTCAATGTTTGGACTTATTAAATAGTAACTACTATCATAATTTTGAGAGGAAGTTTAATATAGTGACATAAGTGCTTGGCTGCTAACTGAAAGTTTGGCGGTTTGAAGTCTGGAAAAAGATGTCACAGTCTGCTTTTGAAAAGATTACAGCCTCGAAAACCCTATGGGGCAGTTCTACTCTGTCCTATAGGGTCACTATGGGTTGGAATCAACTCGATGGTAATTAGTATAGTGACTAGATGGTCATCTTTGTTTATCTTTGTGGTAGGAAAGACAACTAATCTGGGTTGGAATCCTGTGTATGTTACCTACTAGGTGTTGAGGAGTAATGTCAGGGAGCTAAAAGAGAGAGAGAAAAAAAAAAAGATTGATTCTGAACCCGATGGATGAGTAAGTGTTTGCCAGAAGAATAAGGGATTGGGAGAATTGCAGATGGAGAAAAATACACATGCAAATAATGGATGAGAAACAGCATGTTGCTTATTAGAAACTGCATGTATTTTGACATTATCAACTCTACTATAGTTTTAATATACCCATCAGTCTGAATGGCCATTATGTGTTTTTTTGTTGAGCTTCTTTACAAGACAGTGGCTTACTGAGGGCTAGGATTGTGTTTCATTCATTTTCTTAACACCATTACATAGCTAAGTGCTGAAATATAAAGGATCAATAATTGTTGAATAAATGAATCCATGGGTGAATGAGGAGGTGGATGAATAAATGAGTTGGAATTACTGAAGAGTAGCGTGTACGTATATGAAAGGAGAGTGGCAAAAAATTAAGTGAGAAAGATAGATATTGGTCACATTACATCATTTTACTCTGTAAATAATAATTGAATTGTCCTCAAGTTTAGAACATATTGATATATTTTTAAACAACAGTATTAAGAGGTTGTTCTAAAAACAACTTATTTCCCCTGGCAACATTGTATTTTTCTCTAGGCTAAAATGAACAGCAGATTAGAAACAGAACATCAGGGTTCCTAGAAACAGATTGATTGATAGCTGCTAAGAAATGACTGCTGACAGCTGTAGAGGATGCAGTAGAAACATACAAGAAAAGTCTAGCAATTTAGTATTATTCAGGATTATTATTAAAATCTTTTAAACATGAATATTCATAATGATGACCCTTAGTCAAAAAAGAAAAAAATTATGTGTAGTTCCTTCTGTCTAATAAAGAAATGAGTTTTTAAAATCAAAAGTAAATGATATTTGTTACTGAAAAAATGGTATGTGAAGTAAATTCTTGTTGTTGTTGTTAGGTGTCATTGAGCTGGATCCGACTCATAGGAACCCTATGCACAACAGAACGAAACCTGGTGGTGCAATGGTTAAGCACTTGGCTGCTAACTGAAAGGTCGGTTGTTTGTAACCCACCAGCAGCTCTGTGAAAGATGTGGCAATCGGCTTCTATAAAGATTACAGCCTTGGAAACCCTATGGGGCAGTTCTACTACGTCCTATAGAGTTGTTATGAGTTGAAATCACCTGGATGGCAATGAGAAGTAAATACTTAATTTCCCCAAAATGCTCCTTGAAAGAATGGTGCACAGACACTCTCAACTTCCTCTCTTCCCATTTTTGTCTCCATATGCATTTTACCACAGCACTCTACTTAAACCTTAAACTGTCTTTACCAAGTGTTATGGATGAAATTGCATCCCCTCCAAAATCCTAAGCCCTCTACTAGCAAATGTGATCTTGTTGAGATATAAGGTTGTTGTTTGAAGATGTAATCAGTTAAGGAGGTCATATGGAGTAAGATGGATCCTATTCCCTTCTGAATGGTGTCTTATAAAACGGTAGAACAGACATGGAGAGAGGGTCACACAGGAAGAAATGCTATGTGAAGATGCACCTAAAAGCCAAGGAACACCCAGAAATACCTGGGGCTACCAGAAGCTGGAAGAGACAAGGGAAGACCTTCCCATAGAGCAGAGAAAGTGTGGTCCTGCTGACTCCCTGAATTTGGACTCCTAGTCTCCAGAACTGAGAGACAATAAATCTTTGTTCTTCAAAGCCACTCAGTTTGTGGTATTTTGTTATGACAACCCTAGGAAACTAAGACACCAAGTCACTAATAACCTCCATGACTTTAAATTTAATGAACACCTTTCAGTTCTAATTATAAATGGTCTCTTTGCAGCACGGGACATGGCTAATCATGCCATCCTTTTCCAAATTCTCATCTCCTTTGGCTTTCATGACCACACTTCCATGTCTCCTTTGATTATTTTCAGTCTCTTTGTGGGCCTTTGTCTACACACTCCTTAACGATTAGCATCAAACTTCTTCCCTTCTTACTTTACATTCTGTTCTTGGGCAATCCTATCCACTCCCATGACTTCAATTACATATTGAAGACTCTCAAGTCATTATTTCACTTGAATCTGCCTACTGAGATCAACGTGTTCAAAGCTAAACTCATTGACCCTTCCTCTACCCATCCAAACTACTCCTCTCTGTTTCCTATCTCAGGGAACTGCACTACCATCTACGTAGTTGGCCAAAGTCAGAATCTTGGGAGTTATTTTTGAGTCGTCCGAATTCAGGGCCTGTATTTAGTCACAAAGACCTCCCTTCCTACTTTCTAATTGCTCATCATTTGTTGCTTGGATTACTGGAGTATCTTTCTAAAGGATCTCTCTGCCTCCAGTTTTGCCTGCCTCTAACCAAATCTCCAAATTCTATTAGAATGTTCTTTTTAATTTCAACTTTGATCACATCATTCACTTATTTTATATCCTTCAGTGATCCCTTTTGTCCTTCATGATAAAGTTGAACTCCTTAGCAAGACTCCTATAAACTGGCTCCTACTTTCCACTCTAGCATAAACTTTAGCAACATCCCTGCCCCCTTCACACACACACTGGCCATAATGAATGACTATACCAAAACCCATTGCCGTTGAGTTGATTCTGACTCATAGCAACCCTTTAGGACAGAGTAGAACTGCCCCATATGGTTTCTGAGGCTGTAATCTTTATGGGAGCAGACTGCCACACCTTTCTTCCACAGAGTGGTTGATCATTTTGAAGTGCCGACCTTTCGGTTAGCAGCCTAGTGCTTAACCACGGCACCACCGGAGCTCCTTAATGAATGAGTATAGTTCCTTGAATTTTCCATACTTTCTCTCTCCTTTTAATGCCACATCACATTGCTCCTTTTACCCAGAACTTCTTTCCCATCTCTTTCCCTCCACTCCTTCTACCCATTCTTTACCTACATTTGCCTGTCTGCTATGATTCAGTATTTGCATCATCGCCTCTGAAGAGCCTTCATGCTAGACTAGGTTGTTGTTTCTTCTCTGTATTCAAGGCTACCGCCATCACTGCATTTGCTACACAGTATTATGCTGACATGCTTAAAATGTCACCTTTCCTTTGAGCTCCTGCAGAATGCAGGAACTGAAATCGTAATAGTCTTGGAGTGCCCAGAACACATCGAGTGATTATTATGTCAAATGTAAAAACAGACTAAACATGCCATATTGATCAGAAAGATGGCTGTTGTATTGGAGGAGGGAAAT